GGGAAGAGGGACGCAGCAGAAAAACAGAATACAAAGCATCATTTTTTTTGTTTTTTTTTTTCGGGGGGGGAAGGCGGGGGGGCGCGGATTGCTAAACTTTTGGCCGAGGAGTAGTAATAGCAGTGCATGTGATTTTCGTTTGTACATATTACATGTGTTCTTGGTGGATTACTGGTCCAATGTCTGGATAGGATAAGTACGCTATAGTCTGGAGTTGGCGATCCGTATGGGAGCGCTATAGCTTTGGCAATGGCACCCAACTCTTCGCTTCTCATGTATTATACGCTATAGTCGAGAGTTGACGATCCTTATGGGAGCGCTGTAGCTTTGGCTATGGCACCCAACTCTTCTCTTGTTTTATAGTACGCTATAGTTGAGAGTTACATCTCTTCGCTTCTCATGTTTTATACTTAAAGAATTCTAGTTCGAATTTCGAGATTAAAAAAAAAAAAAATTAAAAAAAAATCGAGATTCCACATAATGCGCCTCGAGTTGTGTCCCCCTCAAAAGTCTATACTTGCTATGTGTTGCGATTGGTGACGACCGTACGTGCGATTGTCCCCTCGCCTTCTACAAAATCCACAATCACTGTCTGGAGTGTTTTTTTTTTTGTTTTTTTTTTTTAATAAAGTTCACTGCATACATGGTCCATCAGGCTGCGAACTTGGGTCTGTATTTCGACATGTACTTGGACGCCTTTCAGGACACGGTCGATGATCATTATGTTCATGCCACTTCATGGGTGTTCCAACTGAGCGGCTCATTGGTGCCTCGAGTGTTTTGGTCTTTCCGTCCGTCCGTCCTGTCGACGGTTTTTTTTTTTTTTTTTWTAACTATATTCTTCTCTCAATTTCACCTCACACTACCTACCTACCACTACTCCTACTTGTAGGCATACGGGGAACCCCGTAGCAGCGACAGTAGCCTTCTAGATCTTTAATAACTGTATTTAAGGGCCTCTCGCTTCAATACTCAGCATTCGACAAGTACTTGGACGCCTTTCCGGACAGGGTACATATGAGTAGTCCAATATTTTGAGTGTATATATTTATGGACGATTGTTAGCTCCAGCCAGATACATATAAACTTATAAAGTGCTGTCTAATGAAGCGAGGCCCTATACGTGGTACTTTTCTTTGGAACTTTTTCGTAG